CATCATGTGAAACTCAATAGCAATACTGAAACTTCTGATAATCCAATGAATACTCTCTCTGCATAAACATCAAATAGAAAGCAGGTGGAGCTTTACACGGCTTTTATAACTCTTGGTGTAAGATAAAAAAAGATAAAACACTTATAAAAGGTTACATGGACACTTCCAAAAGCCATCGACGTTTGACTCTAAATATATGAATAATATTGAACTCAAAAGATGTTGCTATGCGCCATTTTCATTAATGAAAGTGCCTGTCTTACCTTAACCAGACTTTACTTCTCAGATTCGCTTGTGCTTTAGAAAAAAAGCTTCCATCGGCTCTAGATTTTTACAGGTCACAATTATGGTTTGATTCAACTTCCGTTTTCCCTTTTGTTAAACCCCCGCGTCCGCATATAAGGCAAAGAAATGGCTGTTTGCACAAAGTATTTGAAAAACGACTTTTGCCTTAATATTCTCAAAAAGTACTCGATCAGTTTGCTTAGTTGCTTTGTATTTACTCAGAGGATTTCTATAATTATAGTTTGTGGACTTTGTCTGCTTGGTGATGCAAATTAGAACATTAAAGCTTATTTCACGACAAGAAAACACTGAGAATGATGCGAAAGTCTCTTCTATATGCAAAAACGTCTTTTTGTTGTAGGGTTTGGACCTATGCAAGAAATGTTAACAACTGCGTCCATTGGTTAATTGAGTTATGGAAAGGCAAATAAGCAGCTTATGAACAGCAAAGACTTAATCCTATAGCAATTGAGCAACAAAGTTAAGCCTTGATAAAGATAAGGAGGTACTCTAACTAATAACCAATGGAAAACAAATCTTGATGTCGTGATCCTCGCAACGTGCAGTTAAAATTGAACATGAAGTGGCTGAGCAGAATCAAAAATTATGTTCACGTTGTAAAGCAGAGAAAGAAAAAATAAGGCAATTTGTAAGGCAAGGCAAAAATTAGTCAAGAAGACAATTTGATGAAAAACGCTTAACCAAAATTTGGCCTATAGTACAACACACTTCACAACGCTCTTCACAACGTTTTAGGGCGGTAGTCGTGCTACTACCTGATGACGTCATAATACAGTCTCATTAATCGTAAAGCTATATTATCAAGCCTGAAGAGCCAATTAACAGCATGATCAAACTATTGCTGAAAACTGTTGAAAAGCAATCCTTTAAAGATGTTGTGCGCTTAAAACGGCTAAAAGAATTAAGCAATGTTTTCAGTTTCATTTTCACAAAGATCATAAGCTTCAATTTTGCAAATATTTTGTAGATGATAACAATGATTGTCTCGATTATTATAATGTTAGTAATGCCAAAGCAAGAAGCTTTCCTTCACACAGTCTTTTTCGACATCTTCCCTTCCACAGTCTCTTAATTTTCACTTTGCAGGGTTCGGTATTCCGTGGGCTATATTTCTGTGGTATTACATTTAAACGAATCGAAACTGCGAGGTAGCGATTTTAACGCTCCCCCTTCCATTGCCCATCGGAACTGTCCCAAAAACAGGCCTACTGAAATGTATTTTTCAATATTGAAACCACGAGTAGTCTTGCTTTATAGCTTGCTATCATAAACTGGACATTAACAGAAGGGTTTCCACTTTTCATTTTAGAACAATCTCTGAAATTCTGGATCGTTTTTAATAACAAAGAAACATCTTTGAGTTTCTTGCAGATATCTTACGTATGTTCTCAAAGTTTTGTCAAAGATTACATGAACTTCAAAAACGAAACGACAAAAGGATTCAAATCAAGACTGAAATATTGTTGAGCCATTTTTTGCCTACTTGTTATGAGAAATTCATCTCATAACAAGTAGCCGATAAGTCTTGAAAATTTCTTAGTTTTTCCGCTTTCCAAAATTTTAGTCTAGTCGATCGTTTGCTCAAGTTTTCTGATAACAGTGTTTTCTAATAAAAGTGAAAGTGTTAACTCAAGTTTTCTACAGCAGTGTTTAAAGAAGAGTTTTTTTACAAAAAACGGCACTTGCTTTACAAAGAAAAGAGCTGCAAGACCCAGAACTCTAAAGGGTCACCTAATGATCGCTTAAAACAAAGGATTACCTTTAACCGACGAAATGGCGATACTTGGCAACAAAATTAGCCTATAAAGATTTTGTCAGTACCAGAATACTAATATGAAATATATGTTATCTTTTGAAAAGTGAACCCGCAGTAGCAATAAAAATTCAAAGGAATGCGCAAGTGTAGCAAAAAACTGTGTACGTTCTTACAAACAGCATTATTTGATAAGCTGTAACTAAAATAGCTGGAAAGAAAGTCAGTGCCTTGACGTCAAAGCTATTTCCTTCTCATGATATATTTTATTGTATGCCCATATTGTTTATAAAAGACAATAAATTGAAGAATGGTTTAAGTAACTTACATGAGTGAAACAGGCTCCTATGCCGTTGCAGCTACCTTTGCCTCGTCTCAAGATGCAATTTCAAGCGTTGGAAATGAGTTCATGGTTTAGTGTGCTCTGGAAAAAATGACAAACAACATATGAACTGAGATACATGAATGTAAGGCTACGGAATGCACACATTTGTAATGTTTAAACAAAGCTTGAGTCCCATTGAAGACTGACCTCGAATAGCAAATAACGTTTGCTTTCAATTAGATAATCGATGTATAACTGTATTTGTTTCGCAAAACAAAGCCACTTAGAATCGGACAAACTCATGGCCAGATTTATTGACCGATGCACGAGTATTAAATTTCAAAGAAGCAGTGATGGGGAAGGGGAGATCGGTGTGGTAACAACTTGTGAATGACCTGTTTACAAGTCAGCTGTAGTGATTATGACAGTGGCTAGGCAAGAAACATTCCAAATTTACACAGTTAATTCTTAACAACAGATCCGCGTGAATTACAAGGTGTGAAAGCAGGATATTCTTGCCTTAAATGATAGTTTGCCAAATAATTGATAACTAAAAAAAATTAAGGGTTTAAAGAGAAAATGAGGCTTATAGCTTCGAAGAGAGATGAATGGTTGCACGTTAGAAAATGCTACAATATTCAACAATCTATTAACTAACAAGCATTTCAGTGAACACAGTAGTCTTAATAACGAAGAGGTTGATTTTGGGTGAGGGTCAAAGGAGAAATGGGCAAATGATCCTACTGTTTGATCATTTAAGGCCAATTTTTACGATAGATTTGGACGACTATGGGCCTACTTATCTGAATGTCAACCTCTCACACGTCCACCCTCTCAAGGAACCCCTAACGCATGACTACAGACATCCTATAGGAAAAAGAGATTTACTTCAACATATAGGGGAAACAGAACTTCAACGAAGTTCATATGTCAGTTTCTTATCTAATTGACCAAGTGAACGATTAGTAGATAATGATAAAAATTATAATGCACATGGCGAGAGTTAATGCTAAGGGGCGTTTCCATTATCTGGAAAAGCCTGTCAGATTTTACGAACAAAAGAATTGATAAAAAGGATTTCTCCAAAGGACAAAAGGTTTTTTTGGTAGCCATGCACGAGATTTCGGGTAAGAGAATGCTCCAGCGCTAAGCAGAATGGATACAAGAAAGTGGTACTGGGATTTGCTTGATTTAGGTGTCACCCATCAGCAATGTTTTATCCAAAAGCAAGCTTGTTAAGATTTCCTATGAAGTTTATTTATGTTTGGAAATGTTAAGAAAACCCAAGGAAAAGAGGGAGGGGTTTGATTTCGTTTGGAATAAAGACAGGTTAGAAGAGTCTGGGAAGGAGAAGGGGGTAGAACATTCCAAAGTTTACTAGATCTGAAGAGGAGGGTGAGTTGTTGGACAGAGTTCGTGAATTTGGCAAAGAGGCTTGGAAAGGGCGAGCACTTGAAGCGTATCTGGTATTACGTACATGTCTCAGGGGACCCGGGATCAATTCTCTGGTCTCCAGGGAGCAATGTCTATGGCAGAATCTTTAAACAATTGAGAGGTCAGCAACACAGTGCCGATGAAAAAGACGCATTTGCATTGCAAATATTTATGCGATTGCCATTGGGCTTAAGGTTTATCCAAAAGTAACAAAGCTTTTCTAGGCTGTTATTGTTAAAGATTACAGTAAAAGTATGACACAAATGTATTACAAATGTAACGTTGTAAGTAGTTACTGTTGTTTTGTCAAAAAGAGTAATTTTAGTGGTTTCTTTCAAACAGTTCCTTAGATAATGTCAATGGGCGAAAAATGAGCCACATTATTCATGATTAAGATCCAATGCAGTTACACAAAAGATTCCAGAATTATTGAGAAGTACAAAATTCTATTAATTCAGGGCAGAATGACAACTTTACGACAGATGGAAAATTGAACGAAAATCGACCATTGACTTGCTGTTGCAAATATAAAGTTAGAGCATTGACATTAGGCACATTTTGTAGGCGTAGTGCATGCATTCCATGATATCCACCGATTGAATAAACTCTATCGAATCCGGTCTCCCAAAAAAGGAGCTCACTATTAGCTTCACAACCACGGATTGTTATGATTTTTTACCCTTGATATCCCAGTTAATGTCCAAAATGCCTACATGTTGAGTTGCTCTAAAGACTGCCCATGCCTTACCAATGTTTCAAGAAACTATATATCCCTTGTGATGGCCATGAGTATTTGGACACTACACCATTAGAGTTGGCACCGTCTTATGATTAATCTTAGATTTTAAGTCGAAAAGGCTCAGTTTAGAACTTGGTTCAACAGTTCAAGTGTGAGAAAAGAGTGTAAAGAGTGTATGAAAAGCATTCAACTTATCATCCAATCTCTTTGGCTTTTACCAAGAAAGTATAATTTTATTATTTTTTTATCAAGATGTTACATTCAGGCATTTGCTGCTTCACGGGCTTATTTTGACCAATGATACTTGCTACTGAAATATTTCTGATATAAATGATAGATAGTACAAGAACACGAAGTCTACAAAAGTTCAAACGGAGGCGCCTTTAAGTAGTCACTTCTGGACTATAAGCCAGCCAATCTGCAAATCAATTTAAAACAATAGGTTTCTGTATGATTTTCCATTTCATATAAATGCTTCACAAAACTACAATTACTGATTTTAATTTTCTTTTAATAAAAACGTAACTTTTTATTACAGTTTCTATAAATTATCCATCCATGTTACAATAACAATTTTAATTATCATCCATGAAAAAACTGGCATAAAGCTTGCAGAGCCTTGTCACCCTGTAAGTCTGTATATCTCGTTTTGAGTGTCTCATCAAAAAAACTGTTAGTTGAATACCTCAAATGAGGATTACTTTCAGTGATTGCCTTAAGTATAACTTTGGAAACATCATCAGATGACTGGACATTATTTTGGAACATCTGACCAACATTAGCAAACATCTTTTTCATGGTTTGAGAAGTCACTGGATCTGAATTTTTGTAATGTTCTTCCATATACTGAACACCATTGTTTTCTCCAAACTTTGTTGCAACTGGACCAGGCTCAATTATTGTAATCCTGTTAAACAATACAAAGCAAAAATAATTTTTGAATTTTCTTTTTATGCGAAGTGATAATAAGAATACCAAAATTAAGCAGCTTTGAACATCAAGAGTTAAAAAAAGGATCATTGGCAAAGATTTATTAAGTAAAACAGCCTTGGACATAACTGGTTCTACCAAAATATTGAACATTTCAGTAGCAATGCAACAGTTTCATTATATTTCAGTGCTGCTCTAGCACAAGGTGCAGTCTTGGTGAGGTGATAACTGCATAGTTTCTAGCTTGCATTAAAATTAGCAGCACTGTTTTCACATATTTCTCACTGAGTATGAATCAATTTATTGGTTTCCATCAGAAATACTTAAACTTAAGCATACAACAATAAACATGTTTAGGTGCATAACCATAGGGGGTGCCACACCACACTAATTTTAGTTTGTGGACAAATTAATAGTATCTTTCGACAACAGAAAAGCTGTAAAAAGAATTACATAGCTGCTATCTAGATATTAAGGGGAGAGGATCTAGATTCGCATAACTGAGCATATGAGTGCCGCATCCATATTTCTACTTCTCTTATTCATAGCCTTGTTCAGAGTCAGAGAGATTTGAAGATATATTAATTGCAAATTAATCAATTTTGTGTCCTCTATTCCTTCCAAATTAATTGTTTGTGTTTTCTCAAATGGCTCCCAAGAGTAGAGATTCCACTGGAAGCCATTTGGCCACATTGCATTATAGCCAAAGCAACACTAGAGGAACATACTTTTATTGGCAAGTCTGGGGTTTTGCAGCTTCCTTCCCCTGAATGTATCATTTCAAAGTTCTGTACTTGCTTTACATTTTAAGACAAAAAAAGTTTGGTAAACTTAATAATTAAACTGCTGCATTAAACAAAAAAGCTCATACTTGATTCCTTTGAAGTTCATGCACTCCAATGCCAAACTTTCAAAGTATCCTTCTACTGCAAACTTGGAGGCATTAATCACTGCTGAGAAAGGAAATGCAGCTACGCCACAAATTGATGATATAACCATAGCATGCCCATAATTGTGTGCTTTCCAATGGGGTAAGATCTTCTTAATCAGCATCATAGGTCCAAAAACATTGGTATTGAAAATGGCTCTCGCATTATCAGTTGGGTGATCTTCTAGTGGTCCAAACCATCCAATTCCTGCATTGTTCACTAGTGAGAAAACAAGCAGACTTTAAAGTCATATATTTTTTAAAACCAGACCTTTCTGTGAAGAAATTTTTACAAAGACCACAAATTACCCCTGTAGATGACCTTATGTTGGTGTTCCCTCCTCCCAACAAAATTTATTAAAGGAGAAGACCTCTGGGGCCTGAGGGGGTATAAGGGTATAAATTGTTTTCTAAAGCCTGGCATTCCCAGCCCTCATAAGCTTTATTAAGTGTTAGTTCCTAATTGGCAGTCTTCGCAACTGTGCATGTCATGGCAAACACCATTCTCTTTTACAATTATACTTAAGAATGGGGTAAGAACAAGCATTAGCACAGATTTTTTAACAAACATTTGATGATTTTTAACAAACAACTTGTGAAGGCAGTGACTAAAGCAAGCCAGTAATGTAGCTTAAGGTTGTTCTCATATTTCGTAGTATAAGCCAAAATTTTGTGCATTACATATTCAAAATAGTGGTATCAAAAGGTTTTTTTAAAAAACAGTATTTGGCTACATTTTCTATGAGAATAAAGTTTTGAGGAGATAAAAACAGGTTTCTCTGCATTTATTTTGCTTAAATGCTATTTATGGCTCTTGCAGTTCATATTGGGCACCCACCTGTGTGATTCTGCATTATAACACCCTTCCCACTGAGCTCCCTGACTGTGGTTTATTAATAACAGGTGATTTGTTATCTCTTTTATCTATCTGAGTATGCTTATGACATAATTGGTTCATTCTTCACTGACACAACCCTGTTTGGTGGTTCAATAATACTTTTTGAAAAAACACGGAAAATGCCTGCCTGTAATACTGGGCAGCTAGAGCTTAGGTTTTTCACTGTTTCAAAAATTCAATATTGACTACCCCACTGTGTTGTAAACTTAACTTCACTCTTGACATGCGCAAAATTTTGGAAAACAAAAGCTTTAGATTCGTGGTAACTTTTTATATGTTTAAAAAAATAAACCCCATCAATTCGTGACATAGGCTATCATATGTCTTCAAAGGTCTAGAATCATATTAAACTACCATTTCAAACACCAACGAAAACAGCATGATTTAAAATAACGATTTATATGCATGCTATCAATAAACTACGCCCACTGTCAGATATGCCTTTGTTAAATGCAAACAACCACGAATAACTAAATTGTATAAGACACTCACCTAAGATATCAATTCTTTTCTCTTTGACCAACAACTCGTCCACAAACGTATTAATATCATCTTCACAGGACACATCTAACTTCTCGATGAAAAGTGTCTTGCCAATAAACCCTTCGCCAGCTTTTTCTAGTTCATCCTTCTTTGCGAGATTTCTCATTGTGGCATAGACCTTAAATCTACTGTCAGGATCCTTCGACAATAAAAGTGCAGTGGCATGCCCAATGCCACTTGAGCAGCCAGTTATCAACACAACTTTGGCTTCTCCGTCCGCCATTTTTTACGATGTGCACACAACCGAGGCTCAAGCAATATTCCCGGACTTGGTCTCACTGCTTGGTCTTCGAGGGGCAGATGTTCCCAGCGCAAGCGCAATAATATTTTATAATTTATTCCACCCATTTATTCCAGCAATTTTCAATAACGAAAGCTTTCTCTTCAATAAATATCCACAGGCTGAAAGCTATTTGATGATTTAAATCGATTTTCTGTGTCGGTGTTAAATTTTTTAGCTTATGCAACATAATTTTCTTCAGATTGGGACATAATCTCTCCGCTTTTTCTTCCTAGCATTTCTTTTCATTAAAACTCTTTGCACCCACTCAATATTTTTATGAAATGGCACCTAATCTGAACTTTTACTGCCAAGCCAAAAATTTTGACGGGTTCCTCACAAACATCCCCACACCTTACCTCGATACGCCCATGCTATCTACTTTGTGCATAAATCACTTAGATTTAGCGTGAGATCTTGAGATTGTGTTTAACAATCGTTTTTCAGTGCACCGAAGTTAGACTGAAAAAAAAGTGGTATGTTGCAAGGTGACCACTGATGCCACATTTAAGTCCATCAAGTGTATAGTGGAAACCAAGCACCACGAAGCCAGACTGTATTATCTTTAAGCGTATGTTTATTAAAGGAGAGAAATGCAGCAGGGCCCACTATATATTTGGTTGGTCGGGCACTTCCCGCAGAAAGCAGCAATAAAAAGCTGTTAAATTCTTCTCTAATTATAGACATACATTGACGTCTTTTTTATAAAGACATATTTTCTACGATCCAGTATCTTTGCTATGACATTATTGGCATTCAACATGAGAAGTCAGCCAAAATAAACACAATGATTTCACCGTAGATTGGCGAGAGATGTTTTTCTTATCAATTTAAATAGAGAAGCGCTAAGTTATTTAATGTCGAAGATTTAGATTGTAAAACGGATAAATAATATAATCTGAAGTAGGCATGCCTTCTATATTAAGGAAGGGTAGATTTCTAACCAATTCTAAGCTGAATGCAAATTTTAAGAATGCAAAATGGACTTAACAATTGCTTTTATCTTCTTATTGCTGTCAAACATATTGCGAATTTGAATAAATGTTCTTGGATGGAAGTCTTAGATGATAAGTTTAAATTTTCAACTCACTTTTCCTCCTCTGGATAATGTACAGTTCCTTTCCTAGTATGTTACAAGACAAAATTTGTCTGCAGCTTTTAAGTCAAAACATCGCAGTTGCCATTTGGCGATTAGAAATAATGTAATTATTCCCAAGAACTTTAATCTTCTGGGAGATGCTTATTGTGCATGTGGTCCCCAGTGGCAAAGTTCCTTTTAGCTTCACAATAAAGAGCAATTTGTTCGCAATACAAAAAGTTCATTGTGTTTCTGAATTGAATTTTTTGAATACAAAAACATCTCGTCAATTCTGCTATCAGCGTGAAATTCTTTCCTGGGAAGTTGACCTCAGGATGAAAGGCAAAAACTAGTTCTAAGGAAAGTACATATGTATGTTGTGAAATGTTTGCTTACCTTAAAATCATTTGGAAATACGTAAGTTCGTTAGGCCAAAGGCAAAAGAAATCCGCTTATATCTGACACAAATGTAATAAATCATAATTTTTTCAATGATAGCAAACCAAGGGCGCCGGATCCAAGGAGACAGCAGGGTAGCACGGGGGCAGCAAAGTGCCCTTTTCAAGAAATTGATTTCCGAGAAATCTTAATTCATATGAATATTTTCAATGCTAATAAAATCTAGGTTTCAAGCATCTCTTGATATCTAGATGCAAGAGAAAAGTCGATATTTTCCTTTTTGATTTGCAAAGCAATTTGACCAAGAAAATTTTTTATTGATAAGTTAGAATTTTTATTGATAAGTTAGTTCTCTTTAACTTTCATGATCATGCTAAACAGATTTCAGATTGCTACCAACGTTGGCTCGCATATGTTCGATATATCAGTCAAGGCATCAATGATGTCTTAAATTCAAGCAATGGCGTAGGAAACGGGAGGCACAGTAGGCACGTACCTTACTTATTTCAAAATTCAGTTTACCTGCCCTTTGCAGCTCGCCAAGTTGCTCATTTTGCCAACTGCATAACCAAAAAGTGCCCTTGAATTGCTTAGGTGCTATACAAAATGAGCAAAGGGGTGACATTTTGAGGCGATAATCTAAAATGTTTTTTTCGTTCTCCTTTTAGAAACACCAAAAAACAAGCTCACAAAAAGGGTTACCGAAAGGTGGGGGCGATGGAAAATTGGCCATGGGCCTCGAGGTTTAGGGCGCTCACGAGGTTCCAGTTTTGAAAGCAATTAGTAAGACATGGTGACTTCAAACAAAAATGCGCAGCTTTTTAAACAGTGGTGACTTCAAAAAAATTCTGAAATGAACTTTAAAGTAACCTAAAGGGCATTGTCGCCAAAACTTCTCTGCTCACTTCGCTCGCAAAGGGCCTCCGAAACGTCCCAGCGGCACTACATACAACTAAGCCAGAAAATGATGCCTATCTCATTGTAGCCAGGCTTTATGTAACAGCCTTTTTAACAATAATAGAATTATATGATTTCTTCTGCTCTCAAGATCTTTGTCAATCAGATCGAGCCAAATATGGAACTCAGTTCCAAACGAAACAAGTAATCGCCAACTTTACCAAAAATTAAGAAAAAACCTCAGAATTTTCATTGTCCAATACGTGTGATCTTTACAAGAAAGCAACATCAGTTGTATTTGATTTGAATTACATTTAGCTTTGGTAATTTAAATAAGTTGACTTTATTTAGCTTGAGTATAGCTGCAGATTGAACCAACTTTAAATAAAGAAAGAAGAAAACAGTAGGTTCAGAGGAGTTATATCCAAAAGTTACATCAAGCCATGTAGATAGTCATCAGAACATTATTTTGTTTTGGTTGTGGCATCAGACATGAAGTGGACTGGTTTCAAGGTAGACCAGTTACTTCTGAAAGCGCTCTTTCTGGTAATAAAAAACCAGATTTGACTAAAAAAAATACAAAATAGAACCCTTGACACTGCGAAATTTTAAAATCAAACGAAGAAGCGTAAATATGGTATACTATTATGTTATGCTTCAGCTTTCCATGCTATATCTTAGTCAAAAGAGCCAACTCTATCAAATAAGGAAGCTGTAGTTGACGAAAAGATAATTTTTCTTTCTAAGATATTTTTTTAAGATATTTGAATACTTTTTAGCTACGCATATTCTGGCTACTAAAAAACAGACTTGAAATTTGTGACTGTCTAAAATCAGACACAAAGCAGAAGAACTCGGTTTTCACAATACCAACGACTTTGTGTTGTCTTGGTTTACATTATTTACTTTTTCTTAATATTCCCACACTAATTGGGCAAGCTAAAACCATTACCAACAGAATGGCAGATATATGGCAGTCAGGAGAGTTGAGCACTCGGCTCAAAGTAAGACTAGGTAAGGCTATGGTGTGGAGCGTAGTTTTGTATGGATGTGAAACGTGGACGATCAGAAAAAAAGAAGAGAGTAAAAAGTGATGAGAGTTAGTTGGACAGAGAGAAGAACAAATGAGTGGGTAGAAGAACAAGTAGAAGTTAGCATAAATAATAGCATGTTGCGAGAAGTTCAAAAGAGAAAAACCAGAAAGTATGGCCACTGGAAGAGGAGAGGTGACAGCTTGGTACTTGCTTCCATTGAAGGAGAGACAAAGGATAGAGCAAAGAGAGGAAGAGTGGAATGGATGTCTAACAGCATAACATGGCAAGGTTGTCTGAATCAAGCTCATCAACATGCTTATATATAAAGAAGGAATGGCAACATCATTCATCATTCATTCAGAAAAGTTGTTTCATTGAAAATTCTTTTAGGCTATAAAATAAGCAAGGACATTGATAAAAAGTCAATAAATTGCTAGATAACGATAGTAACAAGCATGCCGAAGCGGGGTAGCTGGGGAGGGGGGCTATTGCCAACTTACTTTTTTTTCTAAGGTATGATATTCAGGTAGTGGTATCAAAGATAATGGGGGGAAAACTACCATAAAAGTTTGGCAATCTGTCCAGTCTCCTGTTCTAATACCTAGCTTAGGCATTTTTGCATTGCTCGTGAAGTTATTGCTGTCGACTAGTTTAAAGCAATCTCTATCATATCACCAACCAAAAGATCTCTCAGTCAAAGATTAATTTCCTGAAATTATGAACCGATGCTTTTTCACAGCATTAGATTTCGCATCTCACATTACCTTCTACGAGCATTTCGTTTGAAGACCTCGACTGCATTGGAAATGTTTCAACTATTTTGTGTCTGTATCTTAAATCCTTTTAAATTGACATAATTCTATTCGATGGCTTGTCGACTCGCCGAGTTTGAAAAAACTATGCTTTTTATGATCCATAAAATTTTAACCGAATGTTTTGGCAACTTTAATATGATGTAACAATTTTCGTTGCGATTTGCAAAGATGAAGGACATGGAAACTTCATAGAAAAGCAAAAGGCAACATTTTTATGTGTCTCGCTTTCCCTTGATTCATGTAAGTGTACCTTAGATTCTGGGTACAATGCTTCAACGGCCACCTTCTAGTTTTATTTCAAACCCAACTGTTAGTTTTTCTAATTCAGACATTATTTTCCCGATGCAACTCACAATTTGCGTTACTTGTTTGTTAGCACCAAGTTGGTAAACAAATATCTATTCGTAGTTCCGGCACAACACCAATTTTGATATTAATTTTGCAAATTGCTTAGAACTTTTGCAAGCAATTGTTTCTTTTTCGTGGTAAACAGAAACTGTTATGCTTTAATATTAATGCCATATGCAGCTAGATAATTATATTCGAAGCAATGAAAAAGCAAGTTTGTCTCTTATCAGCTGATTAGTGGCCAGGCTCTATTCCTTTCCACCAAGATTTAACTTCCTTAAAAAATTTTTTGCTCTTTAATCAAAGCGATTTTAGATTGAATAATCTATTAATAGGCTCTTTTGAGTGGTTGTATCATCACATTTCATTCAAAATGCCCTATTTGAGACAGAATATCTGGGTTTTTAA